TATGATATTATTATACGAATTATCATACTTATCCTAAATTAACCTAAATAATTAAAGCTTTTTAGTTCTCATCTTATAAACATAGTAGGACCATTCTTTATTGCAGTGTGTTTTTTTTCCTTAAGTATAAAAATTTTTTTAAATAAAAATTAAATAATTATTCAAACTTTTTTATTTTATTACAATTAATTAAACCCTCAAACATTTAGTTTCATACAATTAAATCCTTGAACATTTATTTTCACTTTATATTCACTTAATTCAAGCCCTCGATTTGATGAAAATAGATATAGGTAGTTAATCAATTTTCATCTAATAAGTATTCAATTGTTGAAAATAAATATTTAAAAATATAATTATTTATAATAAACCTATAAAAACTTAAATAATTATTTAATTTCAATTCAATGACTTTTTATACTTAGGGCTTTTTTTTCTTTTTTCACATTCACATACCAAGAAAGTATTAAACAGGTAACTCACATTCTATTAATTGTTATTATTACTAGTTATTTAATTATTTTGTACACAAAAATTATCGAATCATATGACTCTGATTTATCTTTATTTTTACTACTTATTTAGTACTTGAAAATGCAAAAGTCGAGTCGTATTTAGAATAAAAAATTAATAAGAATAAATAATCAATTTCAGAAAAAAATAGTTTAAAAAAAATACATAATTTTTTTTTTTACAGAAAACAATTCTGTAATTACGTTATGGATAGAGAGTGAGAGTCCTTTCGTGCCACACTAGGTGATCCTTTATTCCATTGTGATTGGTGCATGTCAGTCGTACTGTATTTGCAATTAGTCGAAGAGGATTATTGTTTAAGTTAAGAGTAATAATATCAAATTGAATTTGATTTAATTTTTTTTAAATAAACATAATATTATGAATTTTTAAATTTTAATTTAAATATAATTTTTTTTTAAATCGATTTAATTCAAATTAAATTTTATCAATTCGAATTAAATTTTAATAATTCGATTCAATTTAATTTATCGATTTTTTAAATTTAATTTTTTTATATTTTTATATATTATTTTAATAAAATTTGTAATATATTTAAATATATTTATATATAAAATAATTATTTTTATTTTATAAAAATTTAAAATATATAAAAATTAATAAAAATATATACTTCAATTCGATTAAATTTTTTTTAATTTTTCACATCTCGATTTAAAATTTAATTCGTACTTAATATATGCATTTAATATCTAACTTGATTCAAATTAAATAAAAAAATTAATTTGAACCGAATAAAACACTACAATTTCGATTTAATTTTTTATTTTTTCGATTTTTTTTCTCACCTCTAATTTAAGTAAGCTACTTGATGTAGATTTTTTACCGGTGGTTGAATATTGGTACCAAATAAATAACCGGAAACTTAAAAAAAAAAAAAAATCCCGCAAAGTAATGATGACATTTTTTTAAGATTTATTTGTTCCACTATTTTTTGAGATACGATAAGGGTTGTTTAAATAGTCTTCAAGATAAATATTATTTGAATTTAACTTACATTGCAAGATTTATACTTCCTTGTGTGATTTTATTTAATGGACACAATCTTAAACCAAAACGCACTTTTATAAATAATTATGAATATAATTATTCACCTTTTTTTATAGTGAAAGGTTAAGTATGAAGAAATATGCCTCATTTTAAAAGAAATCATTTTAGAAAATCATACTTTTTGACCGAATAAATGGGTAGGATTTTGAATGTCCTTCATGAGGTATCCGAACACCCTAATGATTTTCTCCAAACAATTAGTCAGCATTCGAATGTCAATGTATGAAAATTCGAATACCCCAACTAGAATTATCAAACAAAAAGTTTGCATTCAAATGCCTATGTAAGGGCATCCGAATGCCTTAGCTTTAACTCATGCAAATTAGCTCTTCGATGCATCCAAAGCTTGTTGCAAGCTTCATTAATATTTGACTTCTCATTTCCTTAGTTAAATATCATATTTAACTAAACATCTTTCACAAACATCTTTACTATTTTGAAAATATTTGTAATAAAGAGTCTAATGACTTGTTACATTTAAATCTATAAATTCATTGATTTGTGTCTATTTATTTCATGTTAACATTTGTAAAATATAATAATTAACATGTCACAAAACATATTTTTGAGTTTTTGTCAAACTCATATATAATTTTTATTAAAATTTTAAATCGTATCATTTTGTTTTTATTTTCATACTGTTATCATATTTAAAATTGTTAAATCTAATCACACTAGGGCCTTAACCACAATCCCTTTATTGTTTTGCTTTTTTTGTTTCTAAAATATCTCAAAGCATAAAATTTTTAATTTTGTATTTATATTTAAATTAATATATTTTATTATATATTTTATATTTGATGTCTTTAATAATATTTTGTTGAGTAGGAATCCACTTACATTAATATAACTTTTATATTTTTTGTCCCTTGGATCAAAATAAATTTATGACTCATTTGAATCAAAAAAATATTTTTTAATATAGTACTTTATCGAAGGATCCAAAAAAGTCTAAGAGTTAGACCAGTATAAACAAATCTCTTCTTTAGTTTATTACATAATATTTTTAATTATTATAGGTATTATTTCTAAAAATATTGTAACTATTAATATAATTGATTAAATAAAAAAATTTTAACGATTTTAACTGTTATATAAATTAAAATATATATTACATATAAATAATTTTTAATACTCTACTAATGTTCTTAATGGTTTTTTCATCTTATCATTACTGCTTTTTTTCAAATACATATTTGTCTGATTCTAATTTCACAGCTAGCTATACTATATTTTTCGATATCATTGAAGTTAATCATACGCCATAAAAAAATGGAGCCCCAGTTTTATATTTTCATTATAATTTAATTTTTACTATTTTAGTTATAATTTATTTTGCTTTTTATTATTAGTTCTTTTTTTGTTTCTAACAATTTTTAGGAGGCAAAAATAAATTGAAAACATAAGTTAAGAAGAATAACAATCAAACTAGTATAAATCTAAAATATTTATGATCTATCTAGGTTCATTAGTTACATCTTCATTATCTTTTCTTTTTATGAAGAAAAAAAAGGATGAAGTAAAAAATTGGTCAATTTATTATCTTAATTTGAAGGTGGACCCAAGTCAATTAATGAATACTTCTAAAAGAGATATGAAGGATAACATAATAATATATGATCAATATCATATATCATAAATAATGCAAAAGATTTATTTGAATTGTGAAAGCATAGCAAAAGTGTTTTTATGAAAAAGTCATGCAAGCAATGCCCACTTGATTCACTATTCAGGGACGAAATCACATATTCGAAAATTGTTCACTATCCACAACGTAAGTCCTTATAATCTAAAACATAAGATTTCCTGGAGAGTTTCCTTCTCTATGCCAATCTCTCTATTTTTCTCTCTTGTTTCCCATATAACTCATCATATAGTCCCACATGAATTAGACTTATCTCATTCTTGATTTTGATGAATATATTCATCCTTTTTGTTTCTCATTATAGCCGAACACCATATGTCAATGAGAGAAGAAAAAAAAACAACATATTCATGTTTCAAGAACAATTTTTTCATATTTTTCTCATATGGTCTATTGCCATTTTTCATAAATAAGAGAAGCGCTTGAGGTTTTTGTCCATTTTATTTTAAGACAATAACTACTCATGGTAATTATTTTGTTTCAAATCAAAAAAACCTTTCATAACTTAACTACCCTTTGGTAGTTATTTATCATATAGGATTTTGCTCACTCATTAGGGCGACAATTTCCTACATCAACTACTCGCACAGAATGAATGGCAAACTCTCATGATCAAGAAAATGTTTCTCTACTCTTTGTGATGATTCATGCAAGGAAATAAGTCGTGCAATCAACATACTTCAAGAGCTTAGTTGCTATAACACTGTTAATGCATATAGCAGCTCAAAATCACATCTAGTTACTTATACAATTATTAGGTATGTATAATAACTCTCAAGTACAAGTAGAGCAAATATACAATACCATAGATCCATTCAATCACATTTCAAGTTTACAATCTCTCTTCAATCATATTGCATGATATACTTATATATTCACAATTATATTCGACATCTCAAACATAATTGGTCAACCTATGAATACAACTAAATGTGACACCAAAATGATATTTTTTTCAGCTAGAATCTTTTCGTTTCAATTCAATTGCTATCTAGATATGTCTTATTAGATCGAATCATCCATGATTATTGGCAACAATCCAATATAGTTAACATTGAACTGAAATTTTAAGAAACAATCAAAAGTCTTTAAAGATACTAAATATAAGATCCTCTGATCTCAAGGATCTCACACATAAAAAAACAAAGATTTATTTTTCTGTTACCCTTTATTGATCGAACAATGCACATATAATATCAAACATATGCTATGATATTACTTTCCTTTTCTTATGGAGCGTATGCCTTTTATCATTAGAATTTTTTTTTTTTTAAATTAAAATATTAAAAGATTTGTTATGAGATAATTTTTAAATTAAAATTTGATATTATTTTTAAATATTATTATTTTTATTTTTTATTAAAGTTAAAATACGAAAAAATTGTGAGGAATTAAACCAAATATCTATAATTTATTTTTTAAAATACTTGGTGGAGATAGGAAAAATGAAAAAATCAAATAAAAAATTTTTACAAAAAATTAATCCAAATATCCACAACAGTAAATTTTTCAAAATACTTGGTTTACAAAATTTCAAATCAGATACCAAATGTCCTAAAAAATTCAAACCAAATTTTGATTATCTTGTTTTCTTTAACTTTTTAATTCTTCAAAATTAAAAAAAAAAAAATTCTAATATGAGTAATTGGTGATGATGTCAATAATGAAACATGATTGGATTTTCTTAAAAAAATAAGCTTATCAAATATCTTATGCCAATATAAGTAAAATCAAGAATATAACAAAAAGTATTTATTGAACTTAACTCGGTTAAATCATGCCATTGTCTCTTAAGATATGACATCTAATAATTTTAAAATTTAAATTTTAACACTGACAACCCCTTCTATCTTATAATTACGAACTTCTTTGAAAAAACCTGACTTCAAAGTTCAAAGTAGGATGCATGTTCAAACTCACAACTTTAGCTTAGAAGCATAATATCATTCATTTACAGTCATCACTCAGCTGAGCTTTAAGCAGCACAAATCAAAGCAAAGTAATAGGAAATGAGTATTGGCTAGGGTCATTGACAATGAATGAGTTGGAAAATGATGGCCAATACAGCAAGTTAAAAAAACTCAATCAATTTTCTTTTCCACCATTGCAGACTTTGTATTACCAGAGGGATTTGGCTCTCCATTTCTATTAGGAGAAGATAGTCTATAATTAGACCATTCTTCTAAAGCTTTGTGGTGAAGAGAATTCATTCTAATATAAGGTCGCCTTTCTCTTATGTACTTTTCAGCCCTTTTCCAGTCTTCCACAATGCCTAATGCCACTATTAACGCACACATCACTGCAACACTTCTCCCATGACCTAGAACAAGGACAAATAATTAAACAATTTATACATCTCAAATCTCGAGTATCTTGCAAATAATATGTTTTGAATTAAATCTGATAATTTAAAATATGATATATTGACATAATATAAAAATAATATAAAAATAATACAAATAAAGATATAAAGATAGCAACACAGGTTAAAATTTTAACAAAAATCATAGATGAGCTAAATAAAAAAAAAAATTTATTTCGTATTTTACATATGGACATGAATTGTAACACAACTTTCTGTAAAACACGACACGAATATATGGATTGCTAATTTTTACATGATTCAAATACATAAAAAGCCAGAGCTACATAGAGTTCATAGAAGCCCCTTTAATTTATTTCTCTAATGCAAGAAAGATGCTGGTGCCTTCTTGCTTAGGATTTCATTCCTCGAGTTCGTAGAAATAATTTAATGGCAACAGAAAAAAAAAATGAATGATGAGAAGACAACTGCTGGTTGAGATCAAAATTTTCGAAAGTGCTTATAGAAAAAGTTCTAAACGGTCAAGCTCAAAACCTCCTTTTAGAGTCACTTTTAAGTGATATTCAAATTATGATTCCAAGTGTCAGCTACCAAAGAATTAGGATTAATCTCTACACATCTTTTCAAATTAGCATGGCTGAGATGCACTTCTTTTATGGGTTAATATGTAATTTAACTATTGAACTATATCACTTTTCACGGTTTGGTATCATTCTATCAGCTCATTTGCCCCAGATACGAACTTCCTTAATAATATGTCATTGTGGCAAGAAATCAACAAACAAAATCACATGACATGATGTATTTCATTGGCCAATATCTACCACATTATCATTTTACCTAACACCTTTAATCAATGGTACAAAATGTTTGACAAAAGCAAAGTTAAGATGCCAAATCATAAATTTTTTTCAATAGGTATCAAATTGTGAAAAATGATATAGTTTACAGGCCAATTTACATATTAACCCTTGTTTTATCTCTAGCTCAACCTAATTGGCAAATGTTTGTCCATACATATACTACAAGTAGGGATAATGCCCAAAAATGCCCTTGAACTCTATCCTAAAATGCATTTAAGGCCGCCAGCTTTCATCACATTAAACCAAGAATATGAACTCCTTTAATGCAATTAACCCATAGGTGTCATCATATATGGGAAATAGTGTATCAACTTGCTAAGCTGGTAAAATACCAAAATAAAAGACGCTGAATAGGATTAAATATATCCGAGTGGGCAATAGATTTTAGAAAACAAACTTCTAGGTCCTCTTTTACTTGCATCTTCTTCATTATTCTCTCCCCCTTACCTTTTATCTTTTCTTCTTTTTCCTTTATTTATTTTCTTTGGTAAAGTAATTAGATTGTTGGTGCTTGCTAGCTAGCTAATATAGAGCTCCATTGAGCTGGCAAAATCTAGCCTACAAATGCCAAACACAACATGCATCAAAGGTGATTTCCAACCTCAACGGCCAAATACTAGCGGCAAGTCCTTGATCTGCTCCCAATCGACTTGATCGGTCATATAGAAGGCTATCTCAGAGCAAATCTAGCACTGGTTAGGGTGGAGCATATCACTAACAATCATTGTAGTATAATTAACCAATCATAATTCAAAATTACATAAGGTTCATTAAAATTTCGTATCAAGCCCACACTTATAAACACTGGATCCTTACATAATTTTTTATTATGATTGAACAATTGTAAGTGAAATGCTCCTTAGTTAGCTTGGATCCAACATATGAGACCAAAAACAACATAGTTGACCAGATTCAGGCTAGTCAGCAATGAATCTGATACCGACAAGCCAGATCCCACCAGCCTGAACTTGGGAGAACTATTATATAAGACCAACCAATACCAAAAATTTTGTCAATATGGCTATCAGGTGGAGGAAGAAAAAGATCAAGTAAGAGCAAAGAAGAGTAAAAAACTAAAAGAAATGAAATCCTTCATTAAAGTATATATTGTCAGAGTTAATAATTACAACAACAATGAAATTGGAGTTTGTGCACTTGACTGAACACAATAATAAAAGTTGGAGGCTAATAATACATTTGAATAAAGTCCAAGGGCATTTCAAGGATTATCCCTATAGATTAACTAACAACATGCCCTTCACACTTAAACGGAAGCATATCACCTACAATTATTATAGTATAACTAATCAATCAAAATTTAAAATTAGGTGAGTTCCATCAAAATTTTATATGGAATTCACACTTATAAATAGTAGACCCCTATATAATTTTTATTGTGATTGAATAATTGTAAAATTATAACAAAAATAATTATAGGTGATATGCTTCCCACTTAAACTGCTTTGGTAAGTCTCTTCTTGATGATGGCGCTCCCCAGTTAAATTTGCTTTGAGTTTTCTCCTATGTTGCTTGGACTTGATACAGGTTTGTAGGAGTAAGTGTCTAAAAGTCTTAACTTACCAATTGCTTGAAACTGAAGACACAAGGATACAACTATTAAGGGTTTGACAAGAGGGTATAGGCGCACAAACTCATTTTTCAGATTATATTATTAAGGCTTAGTTTAGCATTGATATTGAAAATAAATTTTCCATTCAAAAGCTGTTTTTGACCCAACTTCAATATTAAACAACAAAAAAAATTATGACTTTTCAGTTTAAAAGCCTAGTTTCACAACTCAAATCAAAAGGCTATTCAAAAGATTTTTCTTTTTTTTTTTGGTGAAAAGGAGCTTTTGGGATAAAAAATTATTATATTATCTTATATTTCTAATATTTTATTATTTTATACATATTTTTTTAGGTATTTCAATTACTAACAGCAATTTTTTCACAGTAATACTAAACACTTAAAATTTTTAACCACACCTTTTAAAAGGATTTTTTTTAAACTTAAAATTTTCCAACTGTAACAGCAATGCTAAACTAATCCTAAAATGTTTAATATTATTATATCAAAAGTTTAATAAACTTTTTATGAAAAAATAAAGGTTGTATTATTACTTTGGTTTTGAGCCTTTAATTTAAAAGAAAAGAAATCATAGCTATGCAATTAGTGCAAACTCCTGGATCTAATTAGCATAGCTAAAAAAACAGTTGTTTTACTTGTGGAATCCTACTCCATTGCTATGCAGCTTAAACTCTGCATTTTTGGAGGAAAAGGGTATATATGGGATCTATGTTTGTAATACCCCAACCTAAATCACATGTGGGCTAGAGCACACATGGCCCATGGTACATTGGGGGTTTATTAACATTTTAATTTGAATAAGTGAGGGCTTACACATGAGATCTTTGGTCTTAAAAATAAAAAAAGGAAATATGGTTTTGCTGACCAAAAAAAAAAAAGGAAAGAACTTTCCCTTGCTTTCTTGCTTACGGTTTGGGATATTGGATGATTGAACTTAAGTGTAAAAATAGAAGACCACAGTTGGTTCCATGTCTTTAAGGTAAGCAAAAGCCTTTTATTTATTTGAAAGAATGTTTTATTTGTTGTTGAAGTTTGAGATTAAAAGTTTGAGGAATACTTAAAGATTCATGTAACTCTCAAATAGTTCTTTTGGTTGATGCTAGCCTATTTGGTTGGTTTTTTACTATTTAATTAAGAGTTAAGCATGATTAAAGATTAGCTTTAAGGCTGGTAACAAAAGAACTCACTATTGTGGATTAAAGGAAGGAATATATATGATATGCAACAATAAGTTTTCTATGTCAGTGAGTTTGTATTAGTTTCGGTATAGATAAATAGAAATTTATTATAATTATTTTATACCCTTGGAAAGCTTGTTGAGTTTATTTTTTAATAAGACAAACAGAAGTCGAATCCAAATTTCTAATTTTTACTTATAGATGTGCAGCCTACATGGCAGTAGCATCAAGGATGAATTAAGAAATTTGACTTAATTTTATACAATGAATTACAGATTGAGCCATATATGTTTGGAAAGCTTATTGAGTTTATTTTCCAACGAAACAAATGGAACTGAATTTCGAATCTCCTATGAATAAATATTTAATATTTACTAAAAGCTATACATGCTGTCTAACAGCATATGACATGGATTGCAAAAACTATTACAATTAATCTACCAGGAATTTCTAGGTGGTCCATATATGGTTAGAAAACTTATTAAGTCTAATTTCTAACACACTAAAAAGATCTTAGTTCCAAATTGTATGTCTTGAGATATGATCATTTTAGTGAAAGAAGCGCAAGCAGCCAGTATTAGTTAGTTGAGTTAAATCTTGTATAATTTAGTTGTTTTAATATAAATGGTCTCAAAAATGGTTGATTAATTTCTAATATATTGAAATGACCTTGAGTAGGCTATTAATTATTTTGGGAAAAAAGATAAATGGTGAAACCGAAAAAAGGTAAGTAGATACTCACACGCTTGTTTTCAAATCTACGTATATATGTATGTTCTAAATGAGTGAAAGTTTATTTCTTTATTTTCAATATATGAAAATAGAATCAAGCATTTGATTATTTTGAGTTTTTCTATATAAATGATGGATCATGCTTATGAATTAAATAAAAAAATTGATTTATGTTTAAAAAATGATTTTATGATAGCTATGAACAATCCCTGAAAAGTGGGATCATCCACACTAGAATTAGTTCTACAGCCTTAGCCGACAATTTATAATAGTTAGCATAGCCATGATTTTACGACCCTAGCTAACGGGTTATAGTAATTAGCATACAACCTTAGCTAACTGGTTATAATAGTTAGCAATGATCATGATAATGAAATTATTGATATAGCCATTATCACGAGTTATAGTAGTAACCGTAACTAATAATGAACTAATAATAATGATTTATGATGATGAATTTACAATTTTGAAGATTGAGTCATGATTTGTTTGAAGTATGTATTTGACCATGATTTATGATTTACAATTGATAAAAATGATATGTTTGAATATGATATCAATCCTTTGAATGCTTACCTAAATGTTTTGGAAGCATAATTTGAATGATGTTTTTGAATGATCTATGGGTACGTATGAAAATGATGCTTGATCCAATAAGGTGTGTAAGCCCATACTTGTTAAGTTGTGGTTTGCTCATTCCATTTTTACTTCCCTTTACAGATGATTAAAATGATAAGTTTGCTTAGTTTTGTGAGAAACTAGAAGATAAATTGGAAAGATTACTAGGGAATTGGAGACATTGTTGGCCAATGAAATCTTACGAAGCGATTTTGTATTTTTATTAATTTATATTTGGATATATGAAGATTTATCATTAGTTGAACTAAAGTTATGTATTTTACTTGACCAGATTATTTTATTGAAGAAATTTAGAATGATTAAGAAAGAAAGTTCCATATTACTTTAGGATTTTGCTTCAAGGTAATACAACTGTGTTGCATCTCAGTCTAGAGGTGTGACAATGTTAGAGAAATCAAAAGAAAAAGGATGAAGAGGAGGAAGAGAACAAAGCATTTTCACGAAAAAATGTGACTAAGGAGTTTAGTAGTAATAAACTTCTAACAAGTCAAGACTTAAAGAGTTAAATTTCATTCACTGAAAAAGATGCAGTCAGATGAACCCTGTTGACCAAATGGCATCCAGAGTAATCATCTTGCTCTTCTGTATGACATCAATAATTAAACAAGGCAACTATCCAAGCAAGATAGAGACTTCATTCTTCCTTGTACTAAATTAAATAAAGACTATTTCAATGGAAGTAAAAGCTTGAGCTTACTAATCCAATTATGTACCAAACTACACTCACCTACATGAAGATACAGTGTAAAGCAAGATGCCAAACTTAAGTTAATAATTACGGTGTAATCAAACAGAATCAAGTCAATACACTATCAAACTCAAACTCAGCTCGATTCGAAAATTCAAGATTAGAAATTTGACTTGAACTTCATTTTTCATGCTCGAACTCAGCTCGTAATGTTTTTGAGTTGCTCAAGCTCGGGTCACTAGGTAAGCAAAATTGTAAATATTAATATTAAATACTATATTTTTATCATTTAAATAACAGTTCGATTAAGCTCAATAGATTCACAAACTTTTCAAATATTAAACTGATTGAACTCAACTTATTACTTAAATAGCTCGACCTTGAGCTAGGCTCAACAATGAACAAGTCAAGCTTAAGTTTTTGTTTTTGAATCAAGCCGGAATAGCTAGTTTAACTCGTTTACATCCCTACTGGTAATGGAAAACATGAATATAATCCACTTACTAGCAAGAAAAGAAAACTCCAGCACTAAAGCAAGCATAATTAAGCAGCAACAAATGAAATGAACAAGTCAGTTTCAGAACATACCATAGGCGCAGTGGATGAACACTGGCTGATTTCGAGCTCTCTTTCGACAAGCCCACTTCACAGCTGATTCAATTTGCCCTGGCTGAGGTGACCTCGTGTCCCAAGTAGGAATGCATAAATACGAGTGCCCCTTCAACTCCTTAATTCTTGGAAATTCAGCTGTGCAATCGATAATAGCAGGGTTACCCGGCGGCAATAAACTAGGCGAAGAAGGCCAGCCACCAACATATATACCCTCACATATTTGAGAGTAAGGTTCATCACTATTAATGGATCTTCTCACCATCGAAAAAACTCTACTAAAGTACAAATATGGGAAAAACATGACTGTTGACCAAATAGGAAAAGACCCATCTGGATTTTTGCCCAAAAGCATGGGAAGATTGATTGAAGGGTGAGAAGCTATTGAAACAAGCCAAGAAATCAACGATGCATACAACAATGGTATCGCCAACAATGTGAACCCAAAGCTCATAAAGCATAGAAATAAAAGCAACCATGCTGCTGCATTCAACGCTATCAAGACTGATAGGCCAAAATCCATCTTTGATTCACAACTCAGAACCAAAAATAAGATTTTCCCAGATCAGTTCTCAAAAGTATTTTGTGATAGTTTTACAAATTTCTGGCTATGAAAGCACCGAAGGGTCCTCACTCTGCAAGGAAAAAAAAAAAGGGCAATATTTTTAAACAAACAAAAGGAAAGGAAAAAGAAGAATATTTTAAAGCCTTTTCCAGATTATTCTTATAACTATTATTAAATAATGTTGATAACACATTTATAGATTATCTTAAAATTTAGTTATCTTTATAATAACTAACAAAAAAAAAAGCCTATATGTCCAAATTATTCATTAAAATTAATATTTAAAAATTATAAATTTAAAAAATTTTAGATGCGTAATATTTTCTTTAATCATATGTTGTAGAATTTACAAGTAAAATTTTTCTATTACCTTTACTCATCATATTTTTTTATAAAATTTATCTAATTAAAAATAAAAAATAAATGAAAATTTTATGTATATTGTTAATGTTATTTAACATTTAAAATCTAAAAATTTTATTTAATAAATAGCAAAAATTTTTTTAGATTAAAATAGTATATTAAAGATAAGAGAAAAATAAGTGAAAAAAATCAGATTTTAGGTTTTTTGTAAATAAAAACTCCTTTAAAAGTATGATAGGAATGTTAAAAAAAATAATGGGGGTAAAAAAGACTTATTGGGATATCAGTTATCCATTGAACCCTCAAAGGTTCCGTTTTAACTGATGTCTCAGTGCGATTCAAGCTAGCAAATTTATGTTCATTGATGTTATCCAAATATGAATAACGATAAGATTGAAGAGAAAAAATGAAGAAAACGCAACACAGAAGAACTTGAGTTAAATCCAAACGAGGCCTTATATCTCAAACTTAGGGCTTATTTGGATTTCACTGAACCATCTGTTCAATACGTTTAAGTCATTTTTTATTTCAATTTCACTGTCAAATAAGTGTTTGGATATCAGAGAAATGGCGCGATTGAATCATTTGACCCGCATGTAAGGGACTGAATTCCACTGGAGAAAGAAAGGTCCAATGGACTACTATACCCTAAATTAGACAATTTTATCCTCAATTTAATATATTTCTTAAAATGCCCGTAATTTTAAAACTCTAACAATTTCAACATTTTTCAGCCTTAATATATTTTTTAATCTAAAAAATATTTCACTATATATTAAATAAAAATATTAAGATTTTAAATGTTAAATAACATTAATATATATTAATTCTCAAATAATTAATAATGAAAATATTATTTGATATAAATAATTTTACTTACTTTCAACTTATTAAAATATAAAATAATTTAATACTTTTTAATTATTTATTGTTTTAAAAAATATCAAATATTTATTATAAATTTTATTATATATAACTTTAATTTAATGACTTTAATAATTATTTTTTTCTCTCATTACATTTTATTTTACTATTATCATTATGATTGAGCTAAATATATATATCATTATTTATTTTAATTTTATTATTATAATAATTAATTTTATTATTATAATAATTAATTATATCTCTATTATTATTTTTAATTTCATCAAAATTAATTTTATTGTTCATTCAAATAAACCTTTATTTATTTCATCGTATCAAATCGGATATCTCAAATCTCTCATTGATGATGTTTCAACATTTTTTCGCGTTGCATCTTGTATTTACAATCTCGTAGCTCTTTAAAAAAGGACATAACAAGTTGCCTAGAATATAATACATATATGCAACCCGTTGTTTTAATTTTTTTTATAATAATAAATATATATATATATATATATATAACAAAAAATCCAAAAGTCTACACAGCAGCCTTCATCAACACAAAAGTTAACCTCGTAAATCCTAAGAATATTATTAAATCGTAAATCACATGATCAAAACATAAACATACAAAAAAACAAAAATTAATAAAAAAACAACACAAAAAACAAACAATCAACTGAAAATTACACAAAAAAATAAAACCAAAATATCTTAAAATCAATCCGTCAAAGCTGGAATTATTTTTAAAAAATTTTGAAAAACATGTGTCTATTGGAAAAAAAAAGAAAATAAGAAAAAGCATATCACCAAAATTAAATTGATAAGAGTTAGAATTAATTGTAGGTTTCATCGTATGTTTGATTTTTTTTTTAATGTTTTAATTGGTTTTTTGAGAGATTCTGATAGGTAAAAACAAAATATAGAGAAGAGAGAAAAAAAAATTTTTTATTTTCAAGTAATTGATAAGTATAAAATGTAATTTTCGGTGTGTGATGAAAAAACTCTTATCATGCATCCAAGAATTATGATAAAAAAATTATGGACTTTGCAAAATACTTAATGATTCTATTTTTCATATGAATGTTCAAATTTGAACACAATCCTTTGAAGTATATACAAAACCATTTAGATAAAGATGAAAAAAAAAAGCAAAAGGACTAAATATCACATTCCATCAGGCCAAACTCAAGAATCCTGTACTATATTTTCCACAAGGAAGAGGAATGTGATCTTTCAACTGTATATCTTACTTCAGATGATTGCCTTGACTGGTTTTTGTTTAATACCTCAATGTATTTATACCATTTTTTTCAATTGATTACCCTTTCCCATTCAAGCAATGTTAAGCAATTTGAAAAAGTAGCAATTCAAAATAAAACTATAATTAATGTACCCAATCCAAGTGCACTAAACTTTACCGAGATTAGTTAGTAATATAAATGATACATTAATATTTATAAATTATTCAAGTTTTGTTTCGATATAATTTGAATTTAATTTGATCATTGTCAAGTTAAGTTTGAGTAGCTTGATTATCAAACGAATTAAATTCAAATATTTTAATACTTTACTAAAATAGTTAACGAGTTTAATTAAATTTTTATATTTTAGTATACATTTTTAATATTTTAATTAAAAAATTATTATTTTATTTTTATATATCAATTTCAATTCAAATTTAACATAAATAATTAAATTTGAAGCCAAGCATAAAAATTAAATTTATTTTTTATCAAAAAAATAAACTTAATTGAACTAGTTAGAGTGATTTGATTTTTATTTTGAGATTAATTCAAATTTAAAATTTAAAACTCGATTGAGTCTAAGTTAAGTTTTGAACAACAAATTTTGAATTAAACTCAAATTTTTTAATATATCAATTCGACTCGATTACACTTCTAACACTGACATCAACTTATATTCTAAATAAAGTCAAACACAAATGCATTGTTCATTTCATTATCATTTTAGCTTAATTTATCAAATTAATTAAACCGAATTCTTAATCAAACAAAACTATAAATCACATAATTAAATGGAATATTAGAGGAAAGATAATATCCTATTCTTGACGTTTAACCTCTTAACATTATAACATCAACGGTTACAGAGATACTTATGTCCATATATCCAAAAAAAAGTTTTATACCAACAAGTGGTTAGTTTGGTTAAAATCATTATTCTCGACCAAGAAGTTTTAGGTTCGAGTCCTATCAGATATGATATATCTTATTTTAATCTGAAAAATTGAACAATTTATCTATCTCGAATTTTTTCTTATAAAAAATATATATATATCCAAAATTTATAAAATATTTCCATCAATATATTCGATTTTTTGTGTAAAAATATTATTATCAATTTAAAAAAATTTTAAAAAATTATTTAATATATTACTATTATTTTTATTAATTTTTAATTATTTATGTGATATATTGAACAAATAATCTTAAAATTTCATTATATACTAACTTTAAACTAATATTTTTAATTATCATTTTTTTCTTCTATACTACATCACCGCTATTTTTATTATCTGCACATATATTCTACCATCATCATTTTATTTTTTTTGTTAATCAAACATATATATCATCTAAACATTCATTTCACCTTATTATTATTATTTTGTTATTCAAACATATATCCTCACCATCGTTTTTTGTTTTTTGTTTTTTATTATCCAATCCCATATCACCTCGTTGATACTACAATAACTAATTCAACTTTCACATTATCTTCAATCACTCTCGTCATCCACTAAAACGAACTCTAATTAAGCAAGCCCTAAGTATCCTCGCTTTCAAAAACATCAAAAAGGGTTGACGGATGGATATAACCTTAGCTCAAGCTGTAAAAATTTGTGAAGGTTAAGTGTAATTGTTTCCAACCAACCAAAATTTGATAAGAGCATTATGAGTTTCACTTTACTTATCATAGAGGAAACAAAGACGGCACTCCCATATGCTTTTTACTAGTACAACAGTAACAAGAAAAGATAACATTTAAAAAGAAATTTGAAAAACAATTAAGCAAAAAAAAAAAAAGGATATCCGAAATGAAGCACAAAACTCTCAAAAACCAAATTAATCCATTGCATATCACTAATACCATTCTTAGGTTGTTAGCTCCATTATAGCAGCAACAATGTCCCCATCTTTAGCCTTGAGTGCCTTGACAGCCTTTGACCTGGAGACCTCTGCTTGTGTCATCACCAACTCGATGTCCTTGGGCTCGACTCCGGTCTCATCTACTTCTTCATCATCCTGGGCCATGCTTGATGACTCCGGTTTGGAGATTACATGGCTGAGATCAGGGGCCTTAAATTGCTCAGCAGCCTGTGTCTGCAGTTGTGAGCTTAAGTCCTCAATCTTAGCCTCACCAAACACTACATAGGTATCTGATGCCGGGCTCTTGAAGACATCCGGTTTCGAAATGACGAACAAGACCTGAATTCAACAGTGAAATCAGCTATCATAATGTAATAAACACTAGTAATACACAAGGCAGGGAAGTAATGAATGGTTAACAATATGGACAGGGGACAAACATTCTTGCTCTTCTTGATGGTGACCCGGCTAACACCTGGAATTGGTTTCATTCCAAGCTTCAACATTGCTTTGCGACTCTTCTTTTCACTTCTGCTTTGCTTTGATCTACCAGTTCCATCTCCATCATGATGTCCTGAGATACAATATAAAAAAAATGAATCTCTTAATGGATAAAAATAAAGAAAATTCCCAGCCATCATTTGATTACTCGTTTCCATAACATGTAACTCTCCAATTAACATACTAAACAGAATTTGTGTCGCATTAAATTGGTAAATAATATACGCATTTAGCAAGCCAAAACACTCTTTACAACTCCTCAAAACATTTTACAGTGGGGTGCATCAAGAAATCAAAATTGCGACACAAAGAACACATCAAGAACTTTATGCATTGACATTTTAATCTTTCTATAGATGAATATGAGAGAGTATCAGAATCCATCAAAATAACCATTTAACACAACCACAGAGCTCATTTCCTTTTAACTCAAAGTAAAAGGTTCTACATCCAAAGAAGGGGAAAAACCCTAGATTTGAAGTAACGCTAATATAAATAACAAAGCTTAAAGGTGAGCCTATGCAGTAGCCTAATTGAGTCGATCCAAGTAAAAAAAAAAAAACAATATAAAGCTTGATCCGAAGCTCAAGAATAAATTCAAAATTCATGAAATTCAACTCAATAGTACAATACTTGAATAGGGCTAAATCGACTAGTTGTACTACTCGAGATCGAGCACTAGTGAGCCAGCTTGACTCACTGATCTATTAGTCTTAAAAATTTTAACCATAACTCCGAACATAAACCAAATATCAAATCAGATTAGGTTAAAATAACACAATTAAACCAACTACTGCACCGTTATTGAGAACATTTCAACCCAAATCTAAAAATTTAACAAAAGAATAAGAAAATGCTGAAAATGAATATTAACCTTCGGCATCATCTTCATCCTTGTCATCATCTTCATCATCATCGTCGTCGTCCTCGTCGTCGTCTTCAACTACAGGTTGTTCAGGTTGGTCGGACTGTAAACCAAAAAAATTAAAAAATAACAATAATAAAAAGAAGAAATCATTATTTTAGGAAAAGAAAGGGAAAAAATTACATCGATTTTCTGTTGGTCGAGATGAGCGGCGAGGATCTCTTCGATCTCTTTGACGGTCTGAGCAGTCATTTTTGGTTGAGAGAAAGAAGCCAAGGCAAAAGCAAAATGCGAAACCCTAAAACCCCTAAATGAAGCTTCTTAATAAAGGAGCGCCGATGTCATGTTAAATTACAACTTTGACACTCCCTAAGTCCTAACTAATACTAACTAGGATTAATGCTGTTTCGCGAAAAAATGATATTTCAAAAATGATTTCGGCATATTTTGATGATTGTTTAGCGTAAAATTGATTGGTGAATAAAAAAAATGATTTATTGGATAAAAGAGAATGATAATTTTTTAGAATAAAAATATTTATTGGTAAAATTATTTATCAAGTTAGCATAATTCTATTCAATTTGAATTTTGAATATGATTTTTTTAAATTCAAACTTAATGTGATCTGATTTAAAATATTTTTATTTAATTTAAGTAAAAAAATAATATTTTAATATTTTAAATTTTAAAATATTTTTGTAATTATTCTCAAATAAGATATTGAATATTATATTTTAAGTTTAAACTTGATTTAATCCAATATGAAATAATATTATATTAATAAAAATATTTATTTAATTTTAATTAATTTGTGATTATATACATTTCGGATAGAATAATTCATATATTAATATTTATATAATACCGATAATTCGTATTTTTATCAAAGGCAAATGTAGGGAGGACTATTAGGGGCCTTGGCCCTCCCTTCTTCTTCAAAATCACTTTAGCATAAAAATATTTTCATTCAAAAAATTGTAATAATATGTTAAATTTCATGAGTTATTAAAATTTTACTTGTAGATGCAATAAATAATTTGATTTTTTTTCCTTTCTTCAATGAAACATTTATCCTTTTAATGTAATTTTATTATTTCATTGAATTTTTTAATTTCTTTAAATGATTATTTTCAATTAATTAAACAAGTATGTTGACATTAATTATTGTATAAAAATATTTCTTTTTATATGGGCTGAAAAAAATGAAATTAAAAAAAATTCAACTATCTATATATATTGTTCCCATAAAATGATAAATTTAATTGTACATTAAAATTTTTTACCGAACTATTCATTTTTAAAACTCTATTACTTTTATTCTTTATTTTCATAAAAAAATTATTAGTTAAATTTTAATTATTCTTTAAATATCCAACAAATTTCTTTTAATTGTGAAAAGAAATTTATACTTTTTTATTTAATTACAATATTATTTTATTTAACATTAATCCTCTTTATTAGCTCTTTATCAATCTATTATTTTATTTAACATTAATTCTCTTTATTAGCTTTTTATCAATTCATCTTATTTTATATTGACCTCCCCCCCAAAAAAAAAGTAAAAAACTTGGCTTCGTCTCTAAATTTTACACAAAAATTCTATGTTAATACACGAAATATATTTTTAAAAATTTTTGTTAAATCATATATAATTTTTATTTAAAAATTTAAATAGAAATTTTTTTTTTCTCATAGTGTTTTAAATTGAGGGGTCTAATTCGGATTTGAGTAATGTCCTAATGTTATCTTGAAGGTAATCATATTGCCGAGTGTAATGCTGACTCTGGATAATATAAGAACTCTTTTACTAAAAGAAAATAGGCCTGCAAATAGAAGTGATATGGCAAAGCTTGTATCATCAAAATGGCAGCTTTGCAATGTAACAAGTACACACACAAGTATAAATTCAAATAGTTTTAAGAAATCCAAACCAACAAAAACTATATCCAAGTTAATAAAACTGACACTTGAAGTAGCCTCACTCAAAGAAAAGGGACATGAGCTCCCTGTTTGTTTCTTTACAATACAGGCTTCAAGCCATTTGTGTTTTAACCTGTAAACATGTATCTATCTGTACATTCACTTCCAATGATCAATGAAATAAGGTTTGATGTGCCATCATCCATAAATATTCCCAAAGTACTGTAGATTATATACCAAAAGGTTTTTGAAAGTCGACGCCGGTCATTTCCACCACCAAAACTGTCTAAACAAATATGTCTTCCTCATCTGAACATTATATGTCATGAAGGCCCTAGCTTTGATAGGGTCAGCATTCAAATACTCAAATGCATACATCTGTTTAGCTTCTTCTAGACCATCGATCTCCATAACAGCCTGTAGCAATTCAGATGTGTTGATTTTAGTTTTACTTCGGTCCATTGCATCAGCCAACCGCCGAATGCTGGATGCCACTGCCAACATCGCCTCCTGCAGAGCATCTGACCCACGAGGCCGCTTCGGATGTTGTCTGAGAGGCTCCATTACCGGATGGTCTTGACTACCATCTTGCAAATACTCCGGTGGCCCGGTATATGACTCTGTTCCATCTGTATCACTTGAGTCATCTGAACTTGGTGATAAGAAAGAAGCAGAATCTTCTTCAAAATTCTTATACCCAGTTGGATGACTTCCATCCTTCATCTTAGCCCAACGACTAGGGGCTTGATAATTGCCACAAACAATCTTTAGTTCATCATACATCTCAATCTGTTTTCCTCGAAATCCTCTTGCATTGGGATGTGCCTGCTCAGTATATTTGTAGCTTAGCAATAAAGACATTATAACAAAAAAATGGTACATGTCAAGTAAGAAAAAAAATAATGGAAAAGAATGCAGAACACACTGACCGCTATATATCTTTTCCACAGTTCTTCACTGTCACATTCAATCATCTTCGTATTTGGATTCCACCTGAATCCATCTTGGCTTAACATATCCTTCATTACCTTGTACCTTTTCTTAATTGTCTTCAGACGATTAACAACTTTTTGATTGTTCAAGTTTAAATTAAAATGAGAGTTCACAGAAATACAAGCAGCAGTATATGCATTTTCATTAAAGCATTTGTCAATTTTATTCCCATTTTTAGCCTGAATGGCCAGAGCTTCGATTAGACACTTATCCATTGCAATCGACCATACTACATTTCTTCCTTTATGCTTCCTCTCCCTTCTCTGTGCCTGCAGCTCATAGTGGTCCATTCCTAATCCTGTAAGAGGAAAAAATAATGGTGTCGTCATGTTAAGGTGCAATTGCTCAACAGAAATTAAATATAAGTCAAATTGAGGACTAACATGAAGCTGCAATCATCTAAACAAATAAAAAAACATAGAAAGAAAGAAAGCAATGATTATCTGAACACACACTTAGAAAATAATATTTATGTCTTTTTTTCCATGTTAAGGGACAATAGAGGAAACAACAAAGGCCAAGAGGAGAGTCACACTACGTTCCGATCATACAAATATATAGAACGGTGGTGCCCTCAACAGATGGCACAGTATCATATCAACAAACATTAATTTGTAAAACAACTGAAATGACTAGAAAAGTAACCCTTAAATGACTAGAACATTAATTACATGGGTTTCTGATTTTAAAATTGTGTAAGAATAAAATAATTACTAGAAAAGTAAAAAAAAAAAATAATAATAATAATAAAGCTACACAAAACTATTTATAGTGACAGAAAAATGTGCAGACGGCTAAAACTAAGGATAACCATGGCCAAGAGCATATCTATTCACATTTTAGGCAACTATCAGATTTCAAGCATATATAAATGACTATTAACACCTATGATGTTCAAACTGAAGATAGATCCATAGTACAATGGTTCATAATGTATAAAGAAACAAAGAAAAATGAAGATTCACCTCAATTTAACAAAAAAGAGAAAAGAAAAGAAAAAAAAGAGAAAATTTTACCTAAACTAGTAATATCAAGCTCTCACTAAACAAAGCAACACACTGAACAAAGCAACACTGAACAAAGCAACAACAAAAATGCATTGTTCTTTCTCAAAAATAGGAATAGGTAGATTAAAAGAATACCCTGTGAAAATATCACCCTTAGAGTTTAGACACTTGTATTTTCAAAATGCACAACCACTGTTCAACATGCCATATGTAGTATTATATGTGAAGGGGTTAACTGCCAAGAAATGACAAATTTTAGAAAAACAGGGAAAGTTTGGGATCTTAAAATGCCAAGGATAAGCACTTTTGTTGTGAAACAAATAAAGAGGACTAGCTCTTACCATGTCAAATGCTAAATGTCAGAGTAGGCTGGTTCGGCCAGGCTGACTCTTAAATGGTTCAACTGTAACATCAGACCAATCAAGGGGCCAATTTACCAACTAACCTGTTAACCCAGTCGCCAAACAGAAGCTCACTCACAAAAGAAACTCATTCTACCACACTTTAACTACTCTTCTTGCTTAATGAATTACTTAACCACCATCCAATAAAATTCAACTCCTTAATTGCATCTGCTTAATTAAAAAGAAAGCCCAAAATATCCAGACTGGAAGAGGGGGAAAAAGAACCTATGTATTAATCTCCATCCTAGGTAAAACAAAAAAGATATTTCTTACATTCTGTAATTTTTCTTCTTCCTTTTTCCTGTTTATAATATTTGAGGCAATGAGGATGGAACTCTTTCCTCTTCTTTTTAATATATGAGTTATCATGCACAGACATTTCTCTGTCTACAAGTCAGTAGTTAGCAATCACTGATCAGTGCTACAGTGCAATGCCTTCTCTCTTAACTCAATTCATATTTGCTTAACTGTCTCCTCTTAGATTCCTATGTTCATGGTGGTAAAGGCAAGGGTTTTAAAAGGTTGACGGTCATGGTGGATTGTTGCAGGACTTATAACGAACTGGAGAATGTTCCTAAACAACCCTTGCCCTACACACGCATAGGACCTCAAACTGCTGGCAGTAATAATCTCCAACAAAACAGTTCATATCATCAACTATACCACTCATAAAAACTGCAAAATGCTTTTATATAATAATGCTTTTATATAGTAATTACATGTTCTAAGATAGCCAACATCTTCCTTTCTTATAGACAGAATTCAGCTACCCCATGTTACAGGAACATAGAATTTTACAAGACAGAGGCAATCCAGATTTTGGAAACACTAGTTTCAAAAGAGTTAAAATTTTTTATGCTTAAACATTATGCCAGATTTTAAATGCCAAAAGCTGCACAAGGCAAACCCTTGGACTATATCAACATTTGGGATCCAAATTCCATACATGCTTCTAACATATAAGAGAAACCTAATTACATCAAAACATACTTGCAAGAAGTTAAATTAAAAGGAAACATATACAAATACGCATACACATATCAGATAACACTCAATTCAACCCCAAACATGGTTTGGAAAAGCACTTCCCTACGCCATGTCTGATGCAAGAAGCATTTCCACAAAATAGCCAAGGGTTTCCAAGAGTGTCCAGTAATCACCAGCACTACACTGTGTTCATATCATACTGAAAACCATAAAAACTATGGTAGGAGAAAGAAAGAGGGAAGATAACAACAGACTAGAAGTAAGAAGTTTAGTCACTGGACACCACTTTGAAACCAATGCTCAGTCATTTTTTGGAAGTAATGACATGGATGTTACCCAAGTACCAGTTTGGCAGGACATAAGAATTGACTTGAAGAACAATCATGAACTTTTTGAAGGTCATGAGGTTTCCCGAACAAAAGGATTCGAGACAATGTAATTTTAATCAACTTAAGCACGACCTTCCCAAAAACTTATAAGACACTGGAATTGGAACTGCACCAACTTGCAAGAGATAATAACCTCATCCCGACATATAAACTTATCAAAAGCAAGACAACAACTTCTTAATCTTTCCTGGTAGTCAACCCCAATAACATTGGCATGGCTAAATCCCATACTAACCAAGCTCAGTACCTAACTTTTACACAAAGGAAAGCATTCAGAAATCAACCTTTTGGCATTGATATGAGCTACCCAAGTCCCAAATTACTCTAAAAGAGTCCACACTAAAAGTGTCCAAACCTCAGCTTCTTTACTAAAATTCACCAAAATAAAACAAACCCATTGGTACTCTCATTACAATTAAGCAACCAACAAGTTAACAAACACAAAACAATGTACCAAAAGACTCAAAGAAAAAAAAAATCAAATTATTGAATTGTTTACACTTCATATAAACAAACAACTAAATAAGTAAAGAAAAGTATTTACGAGAGAGAGAGAAACCTGGGAATCGTGATAAAAAGTAGTAGAGGAAAACGTATCAATCTCTAGCCGGTGAGAAGCCTGATCTGATCGCCGGGAGAGATGAAAAACGACGTTGTTAGAGAGATGCTATACGCGTTAACTAAATGTGACGATGCATTGAGGCAGCTTATTTTTTGTTAGGGTTTTCTATTGAACGTTTGCTGTGTTTTTTCATTTTTCTAATTAAAAAGGGATGGGGTCAAAAATTTTCTCGAGGGGAGGCACTTTCTCGCAGACCAAACGCGTGTAGAGAAAAGTTCAGTGTAGGAAAATGTTTTTTTTTTGCTACAGGCAGTTTCTCAGACGAATGTGAAGGTCCTTTCACAATCTTCCACGTCATTCCAAATTTGGCAACACGGGTGTCGTATTTACTTTCTTTCTTTTCTCTATTTGTAAGAAACAGATTTAAAAATAATAATAATAATAATAATAATACGTAGAGCTTACCATTATGTGGATGAAAAAAAATTAATTACATATTTAATACACCATACATGAATTATGAAATAATATAATTTTTTATTCTACACTTGAAAGAAAAAATTCAATAAATTATTCAAATTATAAATTTTTTTGTCAAAAAAAGTATATGATGAAAGACTTTGAACAAATAATAAGTTTTAATTTATTGAATTTACAAATCGATTATCAAAAATATTATTAACAACGAATTTTGAACTTAAATTTTATAAATAAAATGTTAACAACGATAATCTTATGATTTATTCAATCTTGTTAACAAATTATAATTTTATGCATATTGCACCTTTGACCGACGAAGTCAAAAAATTTCTAATTATATTATGTAATTTATTTAAAAATATCATGTTTATTTTAATTTTTTAACTGAAAAAATTCAGAAGTTTAAAATAAAGGGAACACAGGGAGTTGAGCAAAGAGTAGCAAAGAGAGCAATGGAAAGATGATTGATGTTGACTTGAGTTGTGGTTCTGTGCAGTGTTACAACTCCGAGAGCTTGGCATTTGTTTGTTCCAGCAGCTGAGAAAGTTGCAAAGGTTCAATTCTTTCCTCATGACACAATCATTATGCCATTAAAGCAGGCCACCCATCTTCACAAAAGCTTTCAACAACAACACAAACTAGAACCATTCGGCAGCGTGGTTGTCATCAATGATCCACTGACAGCAGACCCTGAGAAGACTTCCCTTGTCATTGGGTCATCTCCTTGATTGAAATCTTAGTTAAGAATTTTGAATATGATTTGCCACGTTTTTTCATTTGGTAATAACACACAACATGAAGTGCCCTATCCCTATGCGAAGTGAGACCGTTAAACCTTTCTGGCTGCAAGAGGTCGGACAATCATTTTGGCAAACGACAATAAGGGGACGAAAGACGAAACAAATATTTCTAGCGTGCAGAGTTAACAACCAAAGCAAATCATAACATTCAAAGCTTTTCAGATTCTTAAACATCATTTTTTTTTAAATATGTTTTGAAACCAAACAACTTTAAAAAGAACAACTAAATACTAGATATATTTTCTTTTTATTTTAGCAAAACCTTATACAATTTTTGTTAAAATTTTGAACTGAATCACTTTTGTATTATTTTTGTGCCATGTTTAAAATTACCAGAAGTATTTTCAGCTACTGTCATTTCTACAGACCCCTTCCTTTCCAAGAAAAAAGAGAAGAAAACAGATCACATAAGTTAACACAGAGACAAGAAAACATCCTAAAAGCCTAGAATAAATCGATTGTTTGCCTCATTACATAGAATAATCCAATGAAAGTTTCATAATAATCGAAAAATGATATAGATACTCTAATAACTTGTTTTGGTTGAAAAAAACAGCTGCATTGGATAAGGATGTCCAACATGAGATATGCAGAGATAATGCAGAGAACAATCATCCGATAACACCAGCAAACCAAAACACAAATCACATAATCCAAATTATCAAAAAAAAAAAAACCCAAATAATCTAACGAAAAGCAAAAAACAACAGCTATCAAGCAATATTCTTTTAGAAGAACAATCCCAAACAAACAGAGAAAAGAAAAAGAAACAATGTAACACCCTAAAAGAGAGAAAATATGGCCTAGATGATGCATTCTACCAATTCCAAAACATCCATCAATGGAACTTCATGAAAAAATGAATATGAATCTCAAACAGCACTTCAATAGGAAACACCATCAACTAATGTCTAGATAACCTAGCACTCCTAAATTTCATGCAGAAACTTATCAAGACTATAATCTCTAGAAATCAATGAGAAAAGGAAACACCAACACACTGATTTCCAGATGATATGATAATCTTGCAAAAGCAACAATTAATAGACTAGGAACCAAAGATTCTGTTTATCACTCAGCGATGAAAGACAATCAACTAATTTAAGAACAAATCAGAATCTCAGAGATGAAAACAATCCCAACCTACGACCAACTTAAAACTTGGTTTGCATATTCCAATGAATCCCATGAAAACAAATTACCCATGAACCAACCCTCCAGTATAAATGAAAGGTAAACATATTAGCATCAAAATAAGTAGAGCAATCCATTTTAAATATATATATATATTATTGAAATTTGAGAAATATCATTAAAAGGGAGAGAGATACTAGGAGTTCATGGTTAAGAAAAGCGTATGGGGCTCCTTAAAGTTTCAAATTCCATATAAAATAATGACCGAGTACCCTAAGCACGATTTACCACATACGTTGATCTATGAAAGAGATCATATTTCTTGTACTTATCTTCTAATCACCATTCCTATGTTTTCAAAACCTTAACACTTTGTTTGGTAGGAATGATGTCAACAACAAATGAAGAAAAAAGTTTTAATCTAATGATTGAACTAAAAAATAACAGATTTTATGAATCTCAAACATTAAATTAAAAAGTGTTCCATCTTTCCTACCAAACAACATAAAAGAAAATTATTGATATATCAAGACCAGAACATTCTAGATTCTAGTCAATAATGGAAACCAAACTCCCCATAAATTCCTGTAATAAGTAGGGTATGAAGCTGATTTGAAACTTGTTATTCTATATCTAATAGGTTCAATCTATTCAATCTTTAAACAAACATAGCAATGGAAGAGTACTTTGACATGTGAAGTACCAAAATTTGAATCATCAAAAGAATATATCCATGCTCAGTACATTATTTGTTGAATACCAACCATGCCATAAAATTTTCCATTTATAAAAGAGAAGAAAAGACCATCATTTCGATTGACTGATAGATAAGAATATATAAATCTATAAAAGATTTATGATAAGTGCTTTCTACTTTGCACCCAAGCACTTGGCTCAATGGTAGGTTCATGCATCCATCCTCAAAGAGCAGCTCTAATCTCCCCATCTCCCAAATTAAAAAAAGTATTTTCTATAATCTGAAGAAAGAGATGACAAGCAAGCTAGAGACGAGATCTTCTAGTGCAAACAAAAGAAATTTAATATGATAAGTAATACCAAACAACTATAAGTGATTCTTCAAGAACGGGAGGTCAATTAAAAAAAAAGAAAAACTGAAGCAATAGATATCAAAGTCCCAAGGATTTAACATAAAATGCATAGGAAATGACAAGTACTACTGTATCTCATAAACGTCACTGAAATGAGAGGTGTGATATATGGTTAAGAGTTTAGCCCTCAAGAATATATCTAACATCATGAAACTGATAGTTTGTAGGAATATGCTGGTCAGTGGAACAACCAATGACAATTAAATAAGGGATACATTCATTTACATGACAATCATGTCAAAGGATGAGAAAACATAAGAATACAACACATAAAGGCTAAAAAAAGCCATTTATCAAGTGAAAACTGGAAAATAGTACAGGCATTTGAGCTGAAAGCATTGACATGCTACTGCTGATTTAAATTCTCGTGTGAGAAGAATGAAACAGATAAAACCTATTGCATTCTTTATTAGACCTGCCTACAACTCCACCCTTCACTTGTTGGGCATTTGAAATAAACAGGAATCCTGACAATTACACATAACCTTTTGTATATTCAAAAAACCTTATCAATGACATTAAACACAATATCAACAGATATAATAGCCAACTTTGTCAGTTTTTCCCACAAATGCGACAGTGCTAAAGAACCCAAATTTATTATAGAAAGAGAAGGATACAACCCAAAAATGAGTGTCAACATATCAATTACATGAGCACATTATTCACACGATCACATCATAATGCTATTTTTCCCATATGAATAATACATATCAATAAAAAAAAGAAACATAAATTTATGTAAACAAAAAAATACAGCTATATCATGATAATACCAAATATTGACAAGAAGCTAATGTCCAATAACATGATTCTTTTATAGACAAATCATAAAAAAAAAAAAAAAAACCAGTCATGTGGCATAATGAGGTGCTCTAGCAGCCATACTAGCAATCTGCGCCTGCATTTGAGCTGCCCTTACTTTCGCTGTGGTAGCCCTATGAAAGAACTGCTCCCTTGACAACAACCTCACATTCCTCAAATACTGATCAAACGGCACAGCCCCTTCTTGCAATGCCTTATCCAACGAATAAACCACATCCTCAATAGCTAAATCTGCAGATGTGCAATCCAACATTTGCTTAGAAAGTACGTCAATGCAATGAAATGCCTCATCAACATCCACGTTATTCATCCCTAAGTTCTTCGTTTTCCCTTCATTATCCCTAACCCAACTATCCAACACATCGGTGTTCATCAACACAACCTGCAACTGCTGCTCTAACCCTTCTTTTTCGTCTTGCATTTCTTTCAGCCCTTTATTAGTCTCTTCCTCTCTCCTTCTTAACACGGCTTGAGCTGAAAACAACCCCTCCATTTCAACCTCCCTTCCTTTTCTCATTCCAATTATATCCCCATGAACCATCTCCACCAACTTATTCACCGCATTCCTCTTATAAACCTCCGCAGCGTCCTCTGTCTGCGAAGTAGGATGAGGTTGCGGCGGCTGTGGCAGCTGTACCCTCCCATAAGGCGAAGGCGGGTACCCTGCCGCAGCTGCAGCCACCCTCGGCGGTGGCTGCCCATAACTAGACGTCATGGAGGAATTCATAGAAGGGTTAGGGCTCGGATTAGGGTTTGGGTTCAGATTGGGGCGGCGTTGGGAATAAAGAGGGGGATCACGAGAAAAAGCAGAACTTAAATGAAGGACCAAATCGACAGGATTAGAACTTGGATAAATCCAGTTTTGTAAATAAGTGATCGAGACCAACCCAGACGGACTAACGTGAGGATGCGGGCGTTTGATGATCATGTCGCGCGTGGGATTCACGTAGACAACAGGAGGGTGACGAGGGTAAGATTCCATGAGCCAGATTATGATCGGGATGTTGTAAGTAACGCCTTGGAAAGGCATGGGGATGGTGCCATCGGCTTGGAGGAGGTTAACGGATCGGCCGTCGTTGTGAGTGAAAGTCGCGGTTTTGGGTTCGAGGGAAGGGTAGTGGGAGATGAGGGAAAGGAGGTGTTGCCGGATTAGCCATTTGGTGTCTTCCGCGTAAGGGAGGGAGGAAGGGCCACGTTGAGAGAGGACGGAGGAGAGGAATTGTTGGATTTGTTGGGGGTTGGGTGGCGTTGTTGAAGGCGGTGGAACCATTGGGAGATGGAGGGTTTTGATTGTCCGAGTATTTGGAGAGAAGAAGGAAAAGAGAGGAATATGAGAGAGATCGTACCTTGGGACTTGCTTAGCAAAGGTGTTTTGCGAGTATGGGGGATCTTGTGGAACTTTCTGCCTCCGTTGCCGTGTGATGAATAATCAGGAGAAGTTTGAGCTTAGTTTATTAAATTTAATCAATTTTTAATTTTTAAATTTAAATTTAGCTAAAGATAAAAGATGAGCTATTTAAATTTGATTAATTAGATTTAATTTTTTTATTTAATTTTAAATTTGATTATTTGTGTTTAAACTTAAGTTTGAATTTATATGTACAGATAAAATAATATTTTTTAATTAAAATAAAATTTTATATTAAGCTTATGAATTATTTGAATTAGATATTAAAATGCACAAATTTGATTAATTTAATAAATTAAACTGCTCAAATTCAAGGTTGATTTTATAATGATTGAGTTAAATTTAAATTTTATTTTTTAATAAGCTCGAATAATTTATAAGTATTAATATATCATTTACACCTTATTCTCATAACTTATATAATAAATTAAATCAAATTTATCTTTACAAATATAATTTAAAAAATATTAAAATAAATAATTAAAAAATTAAATCTAAAAAAAAAACTCAAAAAAAAAAAGAGTCAAATAAGAATATCACATAAAAACCTCCATTTAAAAATAGTAATAAATGGGGTAAGGCAGATTTATGCACATATTAACTTTGACATGACATTAGATTATTATCTTTTACACCTAACATTGACCTAACATATATATAAATATATAACTCTCATTCAATCACTTGACAAAAAAAATAAATTCAATATATAACATTCATCGAAATATTATTTTGAATATAAATTATATCTTAACTATATATAAATATAATATTTTAATAAATTAAAATATTAAATAATAGTTTTATTAATATAATATATTTATATAAATATAAAATAAAATAAATAATAAAATATATTTTTTTATATATGCTCAAAGATGAAACGAGACATAACACCTTAAATTTATCTCCAATTCAACTTCAATCTTCAAAAAGAAAAAACCATCCACACTTTTTCAATTTCATTATTAAAAAAATAATCTTTGTTGGATCAATGGGTTAAAATCCGTTGGATATTGATTATTTTATCATCATAATCTTAATTGACTATATTTTTTACAAAATTATCTCATTAAAAAAAGGTAAAAAAAAAAAGAAAATGTAGCCAAATAAAGGTATCATTATGACATTATAATTGCTCATTTACCATTGCAAATATAGATTAAAAAAAGATAATTAAAAACAAAAAAAAAAAGCAAAACAAAAAAAGCCTAGGCAAAAAAAAAAAAAAAACTCAAATAAATGTGTCACATGGAACCTTCATTTAATGATGGTAATGGATCATGTTCGAGTAGATTTATACTCATCTCGACTTCGATTTTATTTTTTAATAATTTAGGCTGACTTTTGACTCAACATTGAATTTCTATTTTTTATAACCAATATCAATCCAATATATAAATTTATAATCCACATCTGGCTCATATTAATAAAAATTTAATTAAATTATTTAAATTTAGTATAATGTTCATAAAATTTTTTTAATATAATTACATATTAATTATGTATAAATAATAATTTTTTAAAATTAAGTTACTAAATAATAATTTTATTAATATAATGTATGTATAAATATAAAATTAAAATAAATAATAAAAAATATATTTTTATATATACCTAAAATAAGGCAAAATATGCTAAACCATTTCTAGCTTGATATTTATTTTTTAAAAGAAAAAACTCGACCTAATCTTAAATTTTAAAAAATGACTACATTGGACAAGTGCAAATTAAAATTCTTAAGATATAAAGTGTTTTGTCATACATACCTTTATTGACTTATTTCTTACAAATTTATCTAATTAAAAAAATAATAAAAAAAGAAATGACAATATAAGAAAAATAAAATAAAACCAAATGGAGGTATTATGTGTTAGTAAATTTAAGAAAAACAGAAATAGTAAGAAAGAAGAAAATATGGCTTTGAGGTGTGAATAATACTATCTTAAAAGCAATTATGCATTAAGATACAACAAAGCCTTAAAAACTCTTTAAATCAGAAATAGTGAAATTGGTCATGCAGAAATATCTATTTATAATAAATGAACAGTTATCAATTAAGCCAATTCAAAAAGTCATGACATTTTGTATAGTCATGTTTATTGTTTAAATAAATTTTATTTAAATAGTCATATTTTTCACTGTTTAAACATATTTATTCAGAATCAGTAATATTTCAAAATAAATAATAATAATAATAATATAGATTTAAAAATTAAATCTATTTGCCAAATAAGCCTAAGTGCCCAAGTGCCCATCTTTGACTTTTTAAAATTGTCTGACCCATTAAGAAAACTCTTAACAAGCCCAAATTACTTGGCTCACTCTAACACTTAACTCAATTACTTAAATAGTATAAGTAATTTCTTTTAAACTATATATAAGTGATCTTTATACTCAATGTGGGATACACCACATTCTAAACTACCAACAATCCCCCACTAGTTTGAAATGTTGGTGTTTAATCTTTAACATTTCACACAAATATATATTATGAATACAAAAATGTATCTTTTGATTTAAACCTTCAATTAGCGTATATACTTTAGAATTCTAACAAAGTTGATGGTGTCCGCAGATTAAACATCAACTCCTAGTGTTAAAATTGAAGATATAACACACATAATATTTATTTAATATTATGTTAGAGGTTTATAATCGCTTTAGCACTATTATAGCTATGTTTTTATTCTTATTCATAAACATTTACAAGAAAGTTTTCAATTTTCTTGTTGAAACGACACCACTTCTATGTTTGTATAAATGGAGTTTCTTATTTATGTCTCCATTATTATAGACATTTAATTATAAACTCTATTAAGAGTTCAATCTCACCTTCCATTTACGCAATGGCTTACATTAGTATTTCAAATATTTAGAATGGGTTGACTAGTGTTTACAGACACATAACAATAATTTGTTGTTACTTATTAAACTTTGCAATTAGAGGTTACTAATTCAAAGTTAGGTTCTCATTATTGGTGTCTAAAAGGAATTTTAAATCCATTCCACTTATGGTGCTTCTTACCAAATTTTTAGATAGCGCATTGGTAAGAAAATCTACTAAGTTGTTAGCAGATTTAACATATATGATGGTAGTTACGCTATTTTTTATCAATTTTCTGATATAATCATGTCTTAGACTAATATATCTAGATTTTTCATTATAAATTTCACTATAAGCTCTAGACATAGTAGCTTCACTATCACAGCATAAGAAAATGGCTGTCATTGATTGTGGCCACAACTCTTTATCTATTAATAAATTTCTTAGCCATCAACTTCTTTGCCTACTACAACTAAAGCTATAAATTCAGATTCCATAGTTTAATGTGAAATGCAAGTTTGTTTCTTGGAAGCCCAACTAATTGCACCACCTTAAAGAGTAAATATCCATCCTGAAGTGAATTTATTGTCACTTATACTAGTGATCCAACTTATATCTGAATATCATTTCAAAACAGCTAGATCTCTGAAATAAAATAAGCCAAAATCTTTAGTTCTTTTAAAATAACCTAAAACTCTTCCTATGGCTTTCCAATGACTTGTACTAGGCTTACTTGTATATCTTGATAACTTGCAAATAGCAAAAGCTATGTCTAGCCTAGTACAATGCATAGCATACATAATACTTCCAATAGCACTAGCATATTTAAGTTGTGCAATTATATAATCTTGATTTTTTTGTTAATTTTATACTTGTATCATATGGAGTATTGGCTTCTTTTATATTAAGATGCTTAAACTTATTAAGCAGTTTTTAAATATAATGATTTTGATTAAGTACGAAACCCTTATTATATCTCTTAATTTTGATTCTTAAAATGGTATCAACTTTATTTAAATTTTTCATATTGAAATTAAAAATTAAATACCTTTTGGTTTCATTTATGCCAATCATATTAGTACTAAAAATTAGTATATCATCCACATAGAAAATATTATAACTCCATATTCTTTAGTAAATTTTGAGTAAATGCACTTGTCTGCTCCATTATGTTTAAAACCATTGGCTGCTAAAGTTGAATCAAACTTTTCATGCCATTGTTTAGGGGCTTGCTTTAGCCCATAAAGTGACTTAATTAATTTACAAACTTTAGTCTCATTACCTGGAAGAATAAAACCTTCTGGTTGTTCCATGTATACTTCTTCCTTTAAGTCACCATTTAAAAAGGCTATCTTAACATCCATTTGATGTATATGTAATTTATAAATGGAAGCCAAAGCTATAAGAACTCTAATGAATATTATTCTAGCTACTAGAGCATATGTATCAAAATAATCTATGCTTTCCTTTTGTTTAAAACCTTTTACAACTAATCTTGCTTTAAAGGTTTGTACAAAACCATCTGTATTATATTTTTTTCTAAACACCCATTTACATCTTATAGGTTTAGAACCTGGAGGTAAATTTACCAAAATCTATGTATTATTGGACATGATTGAGTCTATTTCATCATTAATAGTTTCTTTCCAAAAAGTAACATCTCTTGAAGTCATAGTTTCATTAAATATTTTAGGGTTTTCATATACATTTAGTAGAATTGGTGTTTTCTTAAGCATTTTGGTTATATTTCCTTCTACTAAGAATACTATAGAATATGGAGAAACAAAATCAAAAGGTAAAAGATTCTTTTTTCTAACTCTTTTGCTCATTCTAATTTCAACATAATCATTACTTTCTTTTTTTTTTTTATTTCCATTCATAGGAATCATTTCAATTTGTTTCTCCATATCAATTTTGGTATCACATATAAACTTATTTTCAAAAAATTCTACATGAATAGATTTGACAATAACATTAGTATTTAAATCAAAAAGTCTATATGCTTTTGAATTATGTGCATAACCAACAAAAATACTTTTAATACCTCTAGGTCCTAATTTTGATTTATGAGGATGAGGTATTTTATAAAAGGCAATGCACCCCCACACTTTAAAATAATTCAAATTTGGTTTTCTGTCATGATTTCAAAGTTCATATGGTGTCTTTAAGAATTTTTTTGAAAGAATTCTATTATGTATATGGCATGTTGTTAAAAATGCCT